TCAAACTATTATAGGACTCATTGCCCTTCATGCTCACTGGCATATACGGCAGTAACAAGGGTCCTCCATTTGTCTGTCTGGGGCCAGCCTCATACATGTCACTGAGAGGCCATCACACACAGTTGAGAAGGAATTCTTTGTTGCTGTTTCTGTAACAAAAGCTTTTTCCTAGGTTAGGGTTGTTGGCCCTGAGCCAAAGCCCCCAATTTTGGACGATCAGTGTGCATGCTTAGTCTGGCTCCTCCTCCCTTGACCTTTCCGGCTTGGCTGAATCTATCAGGAGCACTAAGCTCCTGCCAGCATAGCTCCTGGGATCATAAGAACATGCAAGCTGCCCCGCCCTGACAAGGCACATGCACACGGGGCAGATTATAGGACCTAATACTGGGATATATGGGGGAAATTATGGCCTGTGATACAGAAGGGATTGGACAAGATGGTCATGTCTGGCCATTAGAGAAATAAAGTGAGTGGGATATCATCTTGACACACGTTCAACTATACTGCATACAGCTGTGGAGATTTCATTTAGTACTTTACCAATGAACTGAAATGTTGAGTTAAATTGAATTCTCACATGTTTGTTGCTTTCACACAAGCTCCATTTTTGTGTGCTCTGTTAGCACAAAGAGCATGGTGTCTAGTCTGCAATATGTAAATAGAATACAATAGCAACCAGTTTTATTCTCCTCTCTCATCTTCTGTACCCTAGTTAGAACTCTAAGTCACCAGCATAGCTGTGAACAAGAGGAGCTATACTAGAAGCTAAGTATTTTCCAACAGACTACAACATAGCAACGTGAGGGCTTCAGCATGGCTATCTACACTACAGATTTTTTTCAGAAAAACGGCTGTTTTTCCAAAAACCCTTCCCTTACGTCCCCACTGCAATCACATTAAAAAAAAAAAAAAAGGGTTTTCTGACATTGGTAAACCTCTTTCTATGAGGAAGAAGCCTTTGTCTGAACGAGCCCTTTCAAAAAAATGCATTTGTGGGCAGGGAAGAGGGAGTTTTCAAAAGAAGAGGAAAGAGGAAAAAGCACAGGTGCCCTGGTGGCCACTCCATCCATAGTAATCACAGCTTAAATGCAAGATAGCGTCCATTCAGTTAGGATGCTCTCTTTCGGAAAAAGGTTTTTCAGAAGATCTCTTCCGAAAGAAGCCTACAATCTAGACATAGCCCATAACTCATCTGGTACCTAGAATGGAGCTGAACTGGCACAAAGATTCTTCACCAAAGGGGAACCAGCTACTTGGATTAAAACCCTTCTATTATAGCAAAAATATGCAATGAGAATTGACTGCTTACTTTTCCTCTATGCTACCTCTCTCAAGACTGAAATACCTCCCCATCCTCCTAGACCACTTTGATTAGAATACCTTCAGCACCTGCTATAAAGCTGGCCTACCTTCGGTGCTTTCCCATAGACAGAGGGTTTTTTTGATGACGGGAGTCAGAGAAAGCATAGTAAGAGCAAAAGGTCCTCCTGTTCACAACCAGATCTGCACCAAGATAGAGCTAAAACTGTTTGGGAAAGAAAGCCAGTTACAAGAACTCCGTTTACAGAATCAGAGCCAGAAGAGACCTCAGGAGGTCATCAAGTCCAGCCCCCTACCCAAGGCAGCACCAATCCCAACTAAGAATCTATAAGCCCAGTAGGCTTTGTGTACTTGGTGCTTCTGATAAGGTGAAATACGGTAGCAAAGACTGACAGCAACATAGCAAGCAAGCCTTAAGCACCTTGGAATAGAAATTCAGTAGGACCTGGCTAAAGGGTATAAATAAAGTATAAAAGCAGGTTTGAGAAGCTGGAAAAAAACCCCGCAAGATTACTCAGCCCTTCAGACTGCTACACTAGCCTGCAATTGTTCCAGTCCTCATTGTGGTCAGTAACCTGAACTCATGCGTCATCTCCCTTCCCCACCCCCTTTGCTCTGAGCAGTCTTGATGCCTAGAGGCTCCAACACTAATGCTACATTAACTCCTCCACCCCATACACAGCTCTGATAGCTAATATTTGGTGCCAGTTACTATTCCATGAGGGTAGCCTGATGTTCTAGCCAGTGAGCCTGTTCTCTCAATTCCTGCACAAGTGAGTTTCTGCAGGATGGCCCTGCCATGGGATCACATACATTTCTGGAATACATGCAAGGATGATAAAGCTGCTCTTTCCATTTTTCTTTCATGAATGCTGACTTGCCTACCATTTCATTCAGCACAGCAGTGGCTTTCATTCAGGTAACACCCCCAACTTTTAATGACTCACTGTCTCAGCATGCTGACTCCAACAGACAGTGTACAGTCATCTATTCAAACTAACACAAGCACTAATTATCCCCCAACATTTTTCCTTCTCTCAAGTGGACAACTGGTGATCTGAGATCCCCACCAAGGACGTCATATAATTGGCATTAGCTTCCAGTTGGAGGGGAACGCTTTGCCCTTACAGAGCATTTCTGCAGAGATACAGAGATTCTTGGGATTCTCACAAGGGTATCTTCCTTACTCTATTCCTTTTCCATTTGTTATGTGTTCACGAAAGAGAAGATAGTACACCCCACGGAGGCAGCTACTCTTAGAAATGAGTACCGGTAATTAGAATTTATACAGTTTGTTTTCTCAGCTTCAACAGTTTGTCCAGAGCCTTCGTGAGGAAGTCAGTTCTCTAAATATGCCCACCTGCTGGCACTGCATCGTGATGCTAGAGGGGATGAAGTGAAAAAAGACTTTGCTTGACAAATGAGGAATCCCTCAGTTATACTAAATCACAGAGTATCATGGGCCAGGTTCAGAGAAGGAAAACTGATACCTTGCGTACAGATAATGCGATATAAGCACATAACTTACATCTTGCATTTGCATTACCTTAATTTCATTAAGGAACATTTATCTTAATGAATGCAACAGCATCCAGGTCGGCCTGCTGACTAACATATCTACACTGTTTATCTTAAACAAGTCATTCTTTTCCCCCCAATGCTTGAAACTAGGACTTCCAGCAAAGGAGACTGCTGTATCAAACCATATACCATTAAAATAGTTCTCTGCAGTTTGGTTGTTTTAAAAAAATTACTAGGGGGTGCACCCCTTACTCATCACACTTGCCAATCCTCCCCCTTGCCTCCCCAGAGCTCTGGTGAGGCTGCATGATTTCTGCCCCTCCCTCCCCCATCAGGGAGGGGCAAGGGAAGGCCACATGGCTCCTCCCCTCCCCAACCCTCTCGCGAGCACTGGGGAGGGACGCAGAGTGATATATTGACGAGGAGTCCTGTGGCACCTTATAGACTAACTGAAGTGTAGGAGCATAAGCTTTCGTGGGCAAAGACCCACTTCGTCAGATGCATGTGGGCATCACTCTGTCGTCCCGCAGGAAAAAGTGTTTTTTATATATAGAGATAGTCCGTTTAATCAAATTAGTAGAAGGCTCACTAGCAAGCAGTACACTGGGAAACAAAAATACTACAACTAGTTTGCTAGAGATGCAATCATAGTTTGCAGTACAACATAAAATTGTTGATATCCACGTGCATTTTTGGACAAGTACTTACATTTTAGTATGTTCGGTCTTGCCTAAGTGCAGTGTCTTAAAACAAAAACAGCAAAGGAAAGAGGGAAGAGCTTGTAACCTTTGTTTCACTGCTTAGAGCAGGGGTGGGCAAGAAGCTGCCAGCAGGCTGGATCTGGCCTACAGCCGCCTCACCAGAACCCTTAGGCAGGGAACAGCTCACACTTTAAAAAAAGCCAGCTGCTCTCTGTTCCTGATGGCTACGAAGGGAGGAGGGAGACTTCTCATGCTATTCCCACCCCCCAGCAAAATCTCTTAACTGCCACTGGCCAATCTCTCAGTTTCCGGCCAACAGGAGCTGAGAAATTTTGCTGGGGGCAGGGGTAGCGGAGAGAGCCTTCTCCCTCGCTCGCCCCCCCCAGCCCCCAATCTCCCTCATGCCTGGAGTGGAGCCACATGGAGCAGCCAATCTGCCTCAAGTTTCTGCTGGCAAGTGCCTCCCGGCCAGAGCCTACCTCTGGCACTCCAGCCCCTCCCTTCCCCAACCCTCTGCCCCTCCCTGCACATTCCCAAACCCCCTTCCCAGATTTGGCACCCCAGATCACAATCCCCTCCTACCCTAGGTCACATCCCAAAACCCTGCACTAGGTCACAACGGCCTCTTTCGCCCATAATACCTACCAGACCCCATTCTCCCTCTTGTACCCAAGCTTCATCCCAGACCCTGGAATTCCTCCATCAATATCCTGGAAGAGTGCAGCTCTTGATCACTTTCCAAAATCTTGGAGTGGGCCCCCCCCCCCCCCCCCGCACAAAGGAAGCCTGCTCATCTTTTTCTGTCTTTCACCTTTAAAATTCAGATCCTTCCCATCTAGGAGGAGACAAATGAGAGAGTTAATGCAAATGATAACAGAAGGTACAAGTGAAAGTTCAGCTATTAAGGACAGGGATTTCACATCAGAATTTGGCATCTATATAATTCCAACAATAAAAGCCTCATTCTGCCATCCTGATACCTCAATCATCCTCTAATCAAACTAAAGGCGGCCAGAAATTAACATTTCAAAAGAATTAACATTTTACAGGAAGATGTCATGAAGACAGATACCGAGTATCCAACTAAAACGTTGTAGAACCTCATCTTTACAGACACCAGAGGTTAACAGAACATTCAACCACATACCTCATTTGGAACCAGAGACACAGCAGCAGAGAACTGGGGAAAAAAATTAAATACAGTACAGTACCTTTAAACGTAAATTATTTAAAAAAAAGGGGGGGTTGCATTTTTCTTTTGCATAGTAAATTTTCAAAACTGTATTCAGTCAATGTTCAGCTGTAAACATTTGAAATAACCATAACATTTTGTTCAGTTACAAATATTTCGGAATTATGAATAACCACCATTCCCAAGGTGTTTGTAACTCAGAGAATCTACTGTATAATAGGTATTTTTGATGACTTAGAGTTAAGGCAGCACATCACCAAATCCCCTCTTAGATATAGTCATTTATTTTACTTAGCTTTATTGTGCATTAAGTACAGTAGTGCATTTAACTGACATTCCTACTGCTTGTCAAGAACAAACTGCTTAATTCAGGTGTTCATGAACGGACTTTAAAAGGACCCCTGTTCTCGGGGTCTTGTTACATACTGCCACCACAGAGGTGGCAGATGCCCTTCTTTGCGAGCTGGAGGCAAAGCTTCATTCACAGGACCATCAGGTGGAGTTTCAGCCTCTAGCTGCTTAACCTAAAACATAAGGAAATAAACTTCAACCAGTATACTTAAGTCTTGAATCTTTGCTCATTTCTTTTGATATTGTGCTATGGTCTCATATATAGGCTCTTATTTCACAACTATAACCAAATGGAGCACTGACTTCATGAACATGATAGAAGGAATTGTATTTGTTAGCTCTATTAGGTTGACTGCACTCTGTAGTAATCATTTGCTATTTCAGTTACAGATCTTCTGATCTTACAATAGTTTAAGTTAAATATTATTGACAATGCAATATTATTTTAAATGGGAACTTATTCCATTATTTGTTACTGTTAATAGGTTTGCAAAACAGAAGGAGCATACTTATCAACAGGGCTTGACAAACAGCAGCAAAACCAACTCGCCAGCCTTGCACTGCACATGCGCAAGACCCGCATTGCGCACGCGTGCGCCGTCGGTGAACGGAGTGACCAGCTGAAATCTACCCATCACGGGCGAGTAGATTCAGAGATTTGTCAAGCCCTGCTTATCAGAGACCCAAACCAGCACCCCTGGAATCAATAGGTGACTCTCCATTGACTTTAATGGACTTGTACTAATGCCCTTTCAGGATAAAATCTTTTAAAACATGAAATAAGCTCTATATTAGAGTCAAAAGCCTCAGCTCACATTAGCTATTATTTGGAGTTGATAATTTTTGAAGTTAAGAATATAACAATTACTATTAACATAAGTTTCACCACCACTATGTAACTGCATAGCCATAAATCCAAGAAATCCATTCCATTTGCTTAAACATTAATGTTTGGGGAAAGTTCACGATTTCAACATAATTAGCATTTTTTTCTCCTGATGAAAACTAAATGAAAATTGGCTCAAGTGTGTCAATATGCTTTTAAGAGTTCAGAACAATGAGTTTCTCAAAAGCACATACCTATTTCTCCAGAGCTTCTATCAGCAAAAGGTATATTATAATAAATAGTTATGATCTGTCCCATTTTGAAATTTATAACTTTGGCATGTCTGGACTACATTTTCCTTTTGAAAGATGATATGCAAATTCAGTGCAAATTTGCATATCTTCTTCCAATCTTTTTTTCGAAAGGTTTTTTTTTTTTTTTTCAAAAAAGCAAGCAGTCTAGATGAGGTTTTTAAAAAATGCCTTTTTCGAAAGAACGCTGTAAACCTCATTTTTTGAGGAAGAAGGGTTTTCGAAAAAGGGTTCCTCCCTCCCTGCCCCCCAAGAGAACCATGTTTAGACTGCTTGTTTTCAAAAAAACACACCTCTTTCAAAAAAGCAATCGGAAGATATGCAAACTTGGTGCAAATTTGCATATCTTCTTTCGAAAAAACCCGTAGTCTAAACGTGCCCTTAGTGTGCCACAACAGAATGAGGGAGCTCAGGCTATAACTGCAGCTTAAACTCTGAAATGTTCCTTTAGAGTCCTTATGAAATTGTGCCATTAAAATATCTGCATATGGAAAGTTGTCAGTATTATACTCAGCAGACAACTTACTGGAAAGGTCTAATTAAGAGATTCAGAGAAATGTAAATATCATGACTAAATTAAGTAATCACTTTTAAAGAGTTTCTAGGCACCCAGTTGGAGTCCAGAATACATTGTTAACTTCTTTAAAGCATGAAGTCATACACTAACTGGCTTTCACACCCATTAAAGTAGTACTGACCTCTTTTCCCCAGCTTTCTAACTGCAGCTTTTTCCATTGCTCTCTTTTGGAGAAGTAATCAGGATACATTGCCTTCTCAGAAGGATGCCATAAATCCAAACACCATTCAGGAACCTGTCAAAAATCCAGGCACTAGATATGAGAAACTACAAACTACACATCAACACTGCCTAGGCAATCAAATCAATGTACTATAAGTAAGGGCCCATAAAGCAAAGCAGTTCGTAATACTCAACTCTTATGTAGTATTTTTCATCAGTACAGCTCCATGTACTTAAAAATACTGACATCCTTCGTAAAACGCCATTTCACAGAAAGAGAAATGGCAGCACAGTGAGGTTAAGTGTACATAGCAGGCCAATAGCAGAGCTGGAAATAGAACCCAGGCCTTCTGATTTACAGTCCAATGTGCTGTTCATTAGGCCATTTAGTTTCATTTTTACTCTTGAAACAAATGTGAATAGCTTATATTTGGAGTTAAGTTACAGAGGAGGTGCAATTTAAAAACTCATGTCCTCCTAAATTTGTGGTTTAGTTGCCAGCATTTGTGGTGCAAACCACAGGAAATGATGAAGGCAAAGAATTCTAACATGGTGCTCCAACTTTCAGTTTACTCCTGCTTGTCTGCAATGGTTTTGTGTAGTTCAGCAATCATATATCCAGAAGATTATAGTATAGGTTGAACGTCTCTTGTCCGGGACTCTGGTTCAGCAACATCCATGGTCTGGCAGGACTACAGATGACCAGAGAGCCCCAGCAGAAGAGGTTGATTGTGACAACCAATCTGGTCAGCAGCAGCCTGCAGGACCAATAAACTGGGAGCAAAGAGTCCTAAGAGCAGGGATCACGGAACCCTGGAAGCAGCTGCTGTCCCACATGGATCCAGGGGCAGTAGAACCTGGCAGGAGGGCTGGAAAAGACCAAGCCTTCATGTACTCCCGGGGCAGCAGCCAGGAGGGGAGAACCCGGATGCCTGACCTCCCCTTGTTTGGGACCACTCAGGTCTCAAAGGTGCCAGGGCAGGGAGGTTCAACCTCTACAATTTTAACTCTGAAGTGATGTTTGGTCAAGACAGGGTAGTGCATCTGGATTAAAAGATGGGTGCATCTTCTTGCGCTCCAAGTAGGATTCACAAAATCCCTCCCATCAGAAAAAGAAAAATCGTAGTCCCAAGTACTATATCTGTCCCAGACCACAAGAAAGTTGTTATATGGTACAAGTTCCTGTTGTAACATTTTTCTTCTCTGTTGTAGGATGAAAGATGCATATCACGTGCAGAAAAGCAATGAAACTATGAATTGCACAACACAAAAAAAGAGAGTATCAGAGGGGTAGCCGTGTTAGTTAGTTGCACAAAAAAGAGAAATGCACTTCTCTAATCCCTTTGACTTAGATGTCTTTGAACCTATCATTCAATAAGTTCTCAAATAAGTGTTATTTCAAGTTGGTGTCCCTCTAAAAAGCATTTTTGCTGCTATTTGTTGCCATCAGTTACAATGCAAAGTACTTTAATCTCAATGACAATTTAATTTTCTTCCAGGAAATAAAACTAAGAAAATAGGCTTTGAAAAACTGCAAATGCATCACACTGACCAGTGAAGATAAAGTAGCTGTTGAACCATTATGGAGACATTAGTGGATCCATTCTAAGCTAAACAGTTCTTTTGCACAAGCAAACAGTGTATGTTCAGTTTGAAGCCGTGTACGCTGATACTTTAAAAAACAAAAAAAAAAAAAAATCAGAATTTTGTGAAAAGTAGATCAGCTATTTAAGTTGTGGTTCTTACAGCTACGAAGATGGAAAATGCACATTTTAAGTCTCTAGACATAAGAAATTCAGATGCCTTGTACAGGCCATCCTTGCTATAAGTCCAAGATACATTAAAAAAAAAAAAAAAAGCAATAGGGGACGAAGTAGCAAAAGTTCTCCAAGAGGAATTTAAAAAAAAAAATGGTTAAAAAGGTAATCATGTAACCATTAGGATTTTTAACAGTTACATGTGCTGTAAGCTCTGCAGTATAAAGCTTACACTGCAAGCCCACAGCACAGCTGACTCCCCGGGAGCTGGGTGGCAGCAAGTATGAGCCAGGAGCCAGCTTACAGTATAGTATAAGCATGCTTCCAGTTGCCAGCCCCACTCCCAGGGAGTCAGCTGCGCTGCGGGCAGCCCATGTAAACGTAAGTATTAGTTTATCAGTTTCTGTTATCAGTTAATTGTTTAGACCCAGCATGTTCAACATGCTAGCCACATGTGGCTATTTGGCCCATTGAGTGTAGCTAGTTCACTACAGCAGTAACCACTACAGTGACTACTGCTTCAGAACTGGTTGGATTTCACAGTTTAGTCAGTTACACTCTTACATCAATATCCTCCACCAGCAAAAGAGCAAGACTTTATAAACAGTGCTTGACATTCCCATCCTCCACTCCCAACAGAACAGGAGACAACTTAGATGAACAACATTGGTCAAATATTTCAAAACACATCTACCTTGTAACAGTCATATCTCTCATAAGATGTGCCTCCAGGAGAATCAGGGAAGATGTAAGGTTGAGGATGCTGGCATACCCAAAATTCTTCCTCAGCAGCTCTCAGCAGTTTTGTTGCTTTCACCATATCCTTCTCATTTTTGTGTTCGTCAAATCGTTCTCTCATCAAACAGGCATAGAATCGAAACTTGTCCCTATAGATACAAAATATTAGGGCTGTTTTCTAGTATGGGAATATTAAAAGTTTCCTCACTGCAGACTAAAAGATTTGCCCTTGATCTTTTGAGAATTCATTACCACTATCAGGGATGGAAGAGTCTCCCTGGGCCATCTTGTAATTAGATGTCTACAGCAGGTTCTCCTCGCATACTGTCTACTCTGTAATGAGTGGTCCTTGATCTAGGTAAGCCCTTTCTGCAGTCCTACCCTTCCAGGTACTGTCTAACCTGGTTCTCAAACATTATTCCATTTGACTCTCTTCCAGCAACAAATTACTACATGACCCTAGGAGGTGGAACTGAAGACCAAGCCTGCTGGAGCCTGGTCACCACAGGCTGAGGCCAAGGCTAAAGTTTAAAGACTTCTTTACTGGGAGGCATGTAAACGTAGCAGGGGTGTCATTTTAACACATTTTGTTATTTAGTTGCCACTATAAAGGGCCATTATCTTGCACCTGACCTCTACAACATCTTTTCCCTCCCTGGGCTTGACTGCAAACTGACCTTCTCAATTTAATTGACAATTCTGATGCTAAATTTTCTTGGCTCACCTCTTACCAGGTCATTAGACTAACCTAACCCCTGCACTCCATTCTCGTATCAAACAATGGTTCTTGTTATCCTAATGGTTACATGTTACCTTTAATGTCTTCTCAGTTTGCTCTGCTTTAGCACTTTGACAGACTGCCTATGGACAAGTTTCTCACTTAAATGGTCTGCATTCTCCCATGCTGCCCCTTACCCAAGGGACAAAATTGTGACTATCACCATTTCTTATTTTTGTGTTATATTCCCAACCCCAATCCTTTGTGTGTGCTCCTGGGTTTTGGGGGGGTTTTTTTAGACCACATGCCTTCTGGGGCAGAGACAGTCTCTTTCTCCATATCTGTATTACAGAGGGCAAAATGGGGCCACGAGTTTGATAGATTTTTGGCCTACTGGAACATAGAAGTTTATTAGTAACACTACAGTAATACAAAAATAATTCAAATAGATTAAGACCAGAAGGGACTGTTATGTTAACTAATCTTCTGTATAACACAGGCCATGGAACTTCATCCAGTAATTTCTGCAGCAATTCGGCTATAACAGATCTTTAAAAAAAAAATATTGAGTACTGATTTGAAGATCACAAAGTGATGGAAAATCCACCATACCTAATATTCCATGAGGTAGTGCAGGGCTACTCAATTTTGGAAGCCCCTGGGGCCACGATAATACTCCCAGCACATGCAGAAGGCCACAGCATAAGTGTGGTTGCATAGACATAGAAGCTATTTGATTATATAGTTGTTTCACACTGACAGGCATGAATACAAAGATTAAGGCAAGACTACACAACATGCAGGCCCCATTTAAATCAGTTCTGCTGATATTAATAAAATGCAACATTTACTTGATTTCCACCCACATGACAGCATTGTAATGAGCAATGGCAGTGCAGGAATTTAACTGCTAAAACGCATATCAACAGAAGACCATTATATTGACTACTTTTTTGTTTTGGCTCCCACCTGGTGGTCACCTGTTGAGCCTTGCATAAAGTCAAACCGCGCCATGGGCCCAAACCATCAGGCCACGGGCAGTGTGTTGATTAGCCCTGATGTAGCGGATAGAACGCTGAAGTGGAATCCAAGAGAGGTGGGTTCTATGTCTGGCTGGGTCACTGATCTGCTGGGTGACTTAGGGCAGGTAAATCCGATCAAGTCTCTGTTGCTCAGTTTCCCCCCTGTGTTAAATGGGGAGCACGACACAAACTGCCTTCACAAGGCTCTCGGAAAGCTCTGGACCACAAGGGCGAGCTCAGAGCTAAGGATCAACAGGAGGCGCTGCCGTTTTAGATGACAACTCTGACCCT